TCGCGGGAACTTTCTCCCATGCCTCTTGCTTCCAGGTTATGCTTGCGGGATTACGCATTTACTCAAGGCTAACTGATATGTTCAGCTATCAGAGAAAGGATGCTCTTCCTCTGATCCTCCGACTTATGCTTTCCCGCTGAGCAGCCATCACTGCGCGGTGTTTACAACTGACAGGAGAACAGCCGTACCAACTGTTCGCACAAGACGAATGTTTGAGGCAAGGTTCAGAGTGACGGGTGCCTGGCCCAAGGCAATTTACGATCGTTTAACAAATTCATTTGAACTGTTCGTGCTGGCCGCAAACAAAACATGAATGCATGGGGCTATCCTGAATTGCGATGTTTAACAAACTGGCTGATTAACTCATTATCACTTCCATCTTAGTACCAAGACACAAACAGCAGTAAATAACCATCTCAAACCGTCCATTTCAAGAAAATGATTAGCCAGATAGTAATATTTTACCAAGATCATAATCAACAGATCATCAAAACAACATACAAAAGGGAAGATAGTCATTCATTAGTTAGATGGGATAATTTATTAACTGAGGTGATCACTTATAGATGGTAAAAGCATTATAATCACCCCACAACATTAACCTATATGTTGCACGCTCCTCAAATAATAGTGATTTTATTGGTACTATAATGTCACTTCCCATCACTTCATCTAGCTTATTTGCTTGGCAAAATATAATATATCCACTCATTTTTCTTTTGTGAAGTTATCTCCTTTGGAAGTTAGAAGTGATAGACATCCATAAGAAATAAGATGTATTACATGAAAGTACAAGCCAGTTTGCTCACACTTATTATGAAGCCATAAAACAAAGCACACTTTATAAACCTCCACGAAAAAAGATCAGTCTTAATAAGACCAGAAGTGAACAATACCTTTTTAAAATTCTGGATCTCAGCTAAATCCCAAGATAAAAGTTCGTTAAAACCGTTCGCTTTCTGAATGAAAGCCGAACGTATGTCACTGAGCCAAAGATATTTGTGACTCTCCACAAGTTCGCTAACCCAACTTTTTATACAAACGTCGTGCGCCAGGTTCATTTATCTCGAGTCTCATCGGCAAAACTCGTTATTCTTAAAACTGAAAATTGTCCTTCTAGTCTGTCGCTAGCTTTCAAAAATACGTTTTTCTAAGCGTTACTTCGATCTTATGTGTGACTGAGTCGTATATTGCCTGACAGGGACGAGAGCGACAAGTAGGGAGTCGAGCTCAGCCCTACAAGAGACTCGGAATTGTGGCTTTATTAGATGACGTTAACAGCAATTATAGTGTTAAAATGATAACTGATAATAATTGTAGCATTTTTACCAAGGTTGTAAACACTCTCATTATTAGTATTGGTATTTCGTATTCTTATTATAGATACTCTTTTATATCATTATTTAAAGTAATAATGGTACTGCTGCTGATGATAGTAATAATAGGAATGATAACATTAAGCTCATTATAATCATTACAATTTCAATCCTTATGGTCACAATTATTATCATGATTTATACTTCTATTAATGTCATTATTCTCTTATATTATCATCATATTCATAACGGTTTCTCAGACGAATTCCCCGAAAAATACTAGTAAATGTTTTGTTAATTTACATATTCATCTATGACACAACAATCGATATGCTCGGATCAGTGCACAATACCTCATGATTGCAGTGCATTAACGTGAACATATCGATATTCATGTTAGAGATAAAAGTTTTAGCATAAGGAAAACATCCTCAAGCAGTTCGGTTAGATCATACACAGCATATGCCAGAATGTGGGTTCACTTTTAGACGTAATCACTGTAGTACAAAGAAAGAACTACATAGAACCAAATGGATGTGTACAGTATGTAAGTTCCATTATGTAACAATGCTGTCAGGAAGTGTTCTTCAATGTATCATGAATTCAAAGTATACATGTCATCAAATTTAGTTTTTTTTCACATTTTATTCAGAAAATATAAAATGTAATTTAACATTAAAGGAATACTTGCTAATGAAAACATGAATTCATCATAATTTCATTTCAGAATTAGAATTAGAATTTACCTGTGGCGTATATCCCTAACGGTCAGTGGTGCTCACTCCCTCACTGTATCTTTATGTAGTGATAAGATAATGATGTTTACCATGAGTGTGTCTTATTTACCCTTCATTTGTTCCCTATATATATATATATATATATATATATATATATATATATATATATATATATATATATATATATATTACTGCATAAACCACCTTTAAGTTTCTCGCATTCAAAGAGTTAAACAAGAGAAATGTAAGTGACTGAAAAGTATTATCACACAAATAACATTTTTAATTAATAACTCTGAAATCACAGAACCAGCAAACATTCCTTGAGCATTTATCTGTTATTCCTAAGTTTCACACACACACACACACACACACACACACACACACACACACACACACAATGGGGACCTCATAACCAAGATACATTTTTCCGTCTGCAAGATGGACTGATTTTTTTTTTTTTATTTTATTTTATTATATATATATAACATAAATTATCAAATTCAAGTAGTTTCCTACAACCATACTGCAGCCTATGGAACGTTGGAAATCACTGATAAAATAAATAAAATGGAAATTCATTCTCTGGCCTAAGCAAGAAGTTTTCTACTAAATTCACCTTCATCAGGCCTGGCGGGTTTTTATGAAAATGTAAGTGATTGAATGCCTTTGTGTGTGTGAAAATGGAGTAATGTTAGATTCCCAGTAGAACTTTTATAGAAATTAAAATTAACAGACGGTTATAATCCCCATTACAAGGCTTTGATGAAAGAAAATCACTAAAAGGGACTGCGTGGTCATTTTTCGACAAAAACTAGCCCTTGCCGAAACCGAGTTTATAATGCACTTGTAAGGTGTGTCAGGTAAAAATTTCATTACAATGCCCATAACATTATAGCTAGAAAAAAAAAAATTAGATCCGAATCATGATACAGATCACCGAAATTTCATGG